ACGCATCACTCAAATCAAGAAATATTTTACCATTCAACTATTTACTTTATGTAGAATCAGTACTGAAAGTATTGTCGAAGGGTTCATGTGCACTTTAATATTATATTAAAGTGCCTAAGACGCCTAACTCAATATCTTTAGTATTCATTCTACATGAAGTGAATATTGAATGGTAAAATATTTTTGTATGATTTGAGTGATGCATCTTGGAAATAGGTTTATACTTCCAATGTGTTAATATGTTACCACAGTCATGACAAGGAAATGTGTAGTTCCAAAAATTATCCATACCCCCCTCACGGAGGAATTTTTTAAGACACCCCCCCTACCCCCCAGAAATTCCAATTTTCTTGCACACATACTCTGTAATTTTTGTTCTTTGTCTGACCCCCCTACTCTTCGGAAATTCCAAATTCCTCTTTGAGGTTGGTATGAGTGATTTCTGGAACTACACAATCATGCAATAGACTACAGTCAATCAAATAAATACAAAATAATTACATACTCTGATTGATGGAAAGGTATTGATTATAACTGACAACTGAAATACTAGCCCACATGTGCATTTGAACACATTATTTCATTCCACTCAATGGCTTTATGCCAATATTGAACACTCACCAATAGGTTCCCTACTGACACCTCTGGAGGATTAGTCATCGCAGAGAGCTGGTCTGGTTCTCTGTAAGAAACTGTGGGGATGTCTGAATCTAGATAAACACAACATGCAAATATTTTGAGATCATATTTCTATATTCTTTTAAATTAATCAAGCTTGATGATCAATTCACTTTATTTTTTTAATTCATGAAGAGTACTAAAATGATTGAGAGAAAAGAATGGAAAAGGAAGGGAGTGAAAGGAATGGAAAGGGAATGAATGGAAAGGGAAGGGGATGAAAAGAATGGAAAAGGAAGGGAATGAAAGGAATGGAAAGGGAATGAAAAGAATGGTAAGGGAATGAAAGAAAAGAAAAGGGAAGGGAATGAAAGGAATGGAAATGAAAGGAATGGAAATGAAAGGAATGGAAAGGGAATGAAGGAAAAGAAAAGGGAAGGGAATGAAAGCAATGGAAATGAAAGGAATGGAATGGAAATAAAAGGAAAGGAAATGAAAGGAATGGAAGGGGAATGAAAAGAATGGTAAGGGAAGGAAAGAAAAGAAAAAGGAAGGGAATGAAAGGAATGGAAAGGGGATGAAAGCAATGGAAACAGAATGAAGGTCACATATTGGTCTGATATTGCAGAAGATAAAGCTTACCATTTTTTCTAGTGTATGGTCTGCCTTTGATGTAAGGGATAGTCTGACATACAAAGTTCACTGCTGTTTGCCCATATACCACAGAAAGTGTATTGAACTCACTGAAAAGGTGTACCTAATGAGATGGGAAAAAGCAATAATTTTTTTTAAAGAAAAACTCAAGTTTTTGATTGGATACAAGTTATATATCTATTCAGATGAAATAATAAAATTTATCATAATTAAATCACAATTGTAAGAAAATCATGAATTGCAAATCAAAATACCAAGTCAAGAATAAATAATAAAAATGCATGGAAATAAAGGAACAAATTACAGTCACTGCAGTTTTCCATACTCTGTGAACTCCTGACGGTAGTTGTGAGACGCACACTGAAATTTGGTTTTTTGCTGCTGTCAATCAAAAATAATCAGTTGGTATCTTTTAAGTTCTTGACTGACAGCAGTAAAAAACCAATTTCACAACAAGCAGTTGAAATATCTGAGTTTGCAGAATATTGAAAACTGCAGTAAAAAAATAGAAATAAAAAAAAAAAAAAAAATCAAACTGGAGAATATGTAGAAACGTTCAACTTAATGAATGAATGGAATTGAATAAAAGAATAAGAAAGGAATTAGATGTGATATGATTCATTTAATATGTTCATTCTTATTCTTTTTCACTTCATTACCAATATCAATCATCGTTACCTTGCAGCTGTCGTTTGCTTCCTTGTTATCGATACTGCTACTTGAACTAATCCTTCCCACTGAACCACAAACAACTTTCTCAGCCTGTAAAAAATATTGGGAGATTTTTACTATGTACCAGTTGTCATTGTACAATCAAATTATTGATGAGTTGACAGTTGAATTTAGCCTCCTCCGCAAGCTACTCCATATATTCTATATTCTCTGTTGGGATCCCTGTATTAAATTTTATGGCAGAGAAGAACTAGGAACGAGAGAGGAGGAGGAGTGGGGACGAGGGAGGGAGAGAAAAAGCGAGAGGAGTGGCATCTCCTCTTCTTCTTTCTCCCTCCCCTCCCCCATTCCCCTTCGTCTTTATGTCCTTGCCACAGGAAGCCCAAGGAGCAAAAGAGCCAAGGAGATGCCTGCCGAGGCGGCTATATTAAGTTATAGGTGGATTGGAGATATGATGACATGTAATTAATATACACATTTGATCATAATATGTATTAGACATGCTATTAAAATGTGCGCATTAGAAATATTAAAATTAGTATATAATTAGTAAAATTAGTGGGCATAGTGTAAGATCTTACCACATCAGTTCCTTCTCTTAGCAGTCTATAGTACATGAGAGCTCTATCATGAACATCAATGTGTGTCTCAGAATCTGATGAACAAATTATTATGTGCATTGTAAAAAATGATATATTATATCCAAAAATAAATATCTATTCTTTACAGACTAGGTTAAATTATTTAGTGGCTCTAAATTATGCTTGATCGTAGATGGGAATTGGACTTGTGAAATACAGGTGGGTTTGAGGGTCAAAACCACGGGTGCATTCGCCTCTCTCCTCTGGGGTCTCGGGTTTAATTCCTTACATATTAGGAGAGTTTGTTATCCTAGGGTCTCTCTCTTCAATGGTTTTTATTTGAGTTCTCCAGACCAGTTTTCTTCCCTCCACAAAAACATCCTAAATTCCAATCCAATTTGTGAGTTACCCATATACATGTATGTCGTCCACATTTCTGGTTTTAATCATTTTATTTTGAAGGCTCTAGAATAAATGCATACTCCTATTTCAAAAATTGTTGTTGGTTGGAGAGACCAAGTAACGCACTTTAAAGTTTGATATATTTACAGCCAAACAATGTAGTT